TACACAGCCCAAATGGAATTCTCCGATAAGCAAATGTACCGAAGGGGCAAGTGAAGGTGGTCTTCGCCTGATCCTCCGGAGCAATAGGAATCTGGAAGTAACCAGACATGCCATCCAGGAAGCAATAGAACTCATGGCCAGCCAACCTCTCCAACATCTGATCAATGAAAGGTAGGGGAAAATGTTCTTTCCTGGTGGCGTCATTCAGGCGCCGGTAATCGATGCAGACTCTCCAGCCGGTCACGGTCCGCATCGGGATCAACTCCTTCTTCTCATTCGGGACCACAGTCATCCCGCCTTTCTTCGGGACCACCTGAGTGGGGCTGACCCACTTGCTATCAGATATAGCAAAGATGATCCCTGCATCCATGAGCTTCACAATCTCTGCCCGGACCACTGCCTCCAAGTTAGGAGACAATCTCCTCTGCGGCTGCCTGACTGGCTTAACCTCATCCTCCATCAGAATTCTGTGGGAGCAGAAGGACGGGCTAATGCCTCTGATGTCTGTGATCTTCCATGCCATGGCCCGGGCATACTTCTGCAGCAAAGCCACCAGCCTGCTCTTCTGCTCGGGTGTCAGATCCGAGCTAATAATGACCGGGAGCTTATTCCCCTCCCGGAGAAATGCATACTCCAGGTGAGATGGGAGGGGCTTAAGCTCCAACTCTGGTGGCTCCTCCAATGATGTAGCGAGCCGGGGCGAGATGGGGATCGGCTTGAATGGTATCTCTCGCCCCTCGATCATGGCCTCGTCCAGCTCTGCCAGCTGCTCCTCCAGCTGCACATCCTGTGATGCCTGTTTCCCTAGCAAAAGACAACGCTCAAGGAAATCATCAGTACCCGCACTCGTGATGGCAAGTGCGGTCTCAAAATCAGCAACAACATCACAGTAATCTAGATCATCATGGAGCTGAGGGTGTTTCATATTATCATAAACAGAGAAGGTGATTTGTTCACCACCAGCTCTCAAAATCAGTTTCCCATCATTAACATCAATAAGCGCCTTGGCGGTGGCGAGAAAAGGTCTACCCAGTATCAATGGCACATCAACATCCTCATTTATGTCCAAAATAACAAAATCAACAGGATATGAAAATGGCCCTACTGCAACTATCAAGTCCTCTGCTATACCCCTAGGATGCACAATAGATCTATCAGCAAGCTGGATACTCATCCTAGTATCACTGGGTTCACCTAGGCCTAGCTTTTTAAACAGTTTATAAGGCATGACATTTATGCTAGCGCCTAAATCCGCCAAAGACTTCCCTACATGCAAACTACCAATCATGCAAGGGATAGTGAAACTCCCTGGGTCTTTTGGCTTCTCTGGTAATTTGTTCTGCAAGATGGCAGAACACTCCTCGTTGAGCATCACCGTTGACAGCTCCCCAAGCTTCCTCTTGTTGGTGAGGAGATCCTTCATGAATTTGGCATACTTGGGCATCTTCGATAATGCCTCCACGAAGGGCATGCTAATGTTTACCTGCTTCAGCATTGCCATGAATTTGGCAAACTCAGTCTCCAGTCGGTCCTTGTGCAACCGAGTAGGAAAGGGAAGCTGTGGTACATACTCCTTCACCACTGGTTGCGGTTTAGGAGCAGGCACCTCAACCTCCTTCTCCATTTCTTCCTGATTAACTGGAAGTGCTGAAGCAGGGGTCTCTCTCTCCTCTGCCCGAACAGGCGGATCGGCAGTCACCTTGCCACTCCTGGTTGTGATGGCACTGCAGTTGGCATTCGGATCCTGCGGATGAGGAATGGTCTGACCAGGCAAGGTACCAGGAGTCCTCTGAGCTACAGCCTGGGCAACACTCCCAAGCTGGGTCTGTATATCCCGCAGCACAGCCTGTGTATTTCTCTGACCAGCTTCTAGCTCCAAGAACTTGCCTGAAGCTTTCTCCATGAATTGCTCGATGTTATTGAACTTGTTCGCACTGGAGGTGGCCAGAGAACCCACCAAATCTCTCAATTCCGCCATCGGGTCACTCTGTACTGGAGCTGCAGGTGCTGCTCCTGTCTGCTGAAATGGTCGCACCTGTGACTGTGGCGGAACTGGACCCTGTCTGGGCTGGTAGAGTGGCTGCTGGGGCTGCTGAAATTGCCCCTGTCTGGGCTGGTACGGAGGCCTTTGGAAGCCCGGTGGTCCCTGGGGAGCTAGTGGTTTGGGATTTGCCCCAGCCCAAGAAAAGTTAGGATGCTGGCGCCACCCCTCGTTATAAGTGTTGCTGTAGGGGTCGAAGCGCCTGGAATTGCTGATAAAGTCCACCTGCTCCTGGGTAGTAGACGATTCCCTCATCGCCTGACAGTCCTCTACGGTGTGATGGGAGCTCTCACACCACTGGCAGTGCATCGCCTGCGGCTGTCCTGTACCTGCAATCAAACCAGAACGATCGATAGCTGAAACCAGCTTCGATACCACCTGCACCAAATCAGATGACTGGGTGCCCACAGCATGCACACCCCGGCCTGGTGCTCTCCTCGATCTCCTGGCAGTGCCCCAGTCGTACCCGTTCTCCTCCATCTCCTCAAAGAGTTGATTAAGTTGTGGTGGGGTTTTTGTCAGCATGTTCCCGCCACAAACCGAATCAATCAGCTGCTTGTCCTCCGGGAAGAGGGCGTGATAGAAGGTGCCCACCTTGAATGCATCATTGAAACCATGATTGGGACACCTGAGGAAAAGACTGGTGTATCTCTCCCAAGCATCCCTGATGGTCTCATCTTCGTCCTGGGTGAAGTGGATGATCTGCTTCTGCAAGTCAGCTGTTTTGGATGGAGGATGGTAGCGGGTGAGGAACTTGTCCGCCAGGTTGGCGAACGTAGTGATGGAGCCTGGAGGTCGAGTGTCTAGCCACTCCTTGGCCTGCCCCTCCAGAGTGAATGGGAAGTACCTCAGCTGGATGGCATCTAGAGGGTCCCCGGCAACGGCGCCAAAAACTTGACACGCCAAAACACAACACCAATCTGCGACCAAGTGTAATCGCAGACCGGAAATGCAGTAACAGGAAAGTTATATTATCAACCCGGGCTCTAGATCTACTGCTTACTCAGTGATTCTCTGTTATCTAGCCAACTAAAGTAAGTGATTGTTGTTTAAACTAAAAGCAGGAATTTATTCGGTTTTCTCAAGCAGGAAAGAGTCACTCGGGAATGAATCCCCCTAGCTCCTTAGTTAGGTTCAATTGCAATTTACCCTGGGTTGATTTACTGTTGATTAGACTGCGGAAGATCCGGCAGTAGCTTGGAATCTCTTAAGCTGACCAAGCCCTCTCAGTCTAACTACCCGGCAGACGACTAGTCTTCACCGGGATAGAAAGCTGAAGCAGTAAGAACAGAAATTCACTACTGGAATTAGATTCCAGTACAAAGTAGTAAACTGGCTAACTCTCGTATAGCCAATCTCCTACTATCGAATGATGAGACTCTAGCAACCTAATCAGATTCTATCTATCTCAGATTGCAGCATGAATCAGGAAAACTTGATCAGACTTCAATTGACTCAATAAACATGCATCATTCGATTAAAATCAAACAGTAATATCATCCCAAGTCATTACAATCAATCCCCTAACATGTAGAACTAGGGTTCTTCATCCCCAAGTGAGAGAGAGGTTCTACTCCATAGAGAGAGAAAAGAAAACAGTAATCGGAGTAGTCATACTCATAATGATGAGGAAAATCTGCTCCGGGATGATGATTTCCACTCCTAGGACGATCTCCAAGCTTGATTTGATGAAACCCAGCTCCAAGATGGCTTCTAGGGTGAGTTCTTCGCACTTTCTCTCTCTAGGGCTCTGTTTTTGCTCAAGAAATTCGATCTCTCTTTCCTTGGCTCGATTCTGGCTTCAAAAACCCGACTCTAGGCGAATTACGGGCTGAATTACGGCCGTAATCACGTCCTGCCCATAATTCGCCCCAAAACGCACGTTTCAATTAAGCTGAAGGAGGAGGAGATACGCCCGTAATTTCCCAATTACCGCCAGTAATTTTGGAATTACGGTCGTAATTCTTGGGGGTCTTGCCCGTAATTTTATCACCGAGAGGAAATTCTGGGGAAAAGGCTCGGCACGGGCATGCCCTGACCAATTACGGTCGTAATTTGGCAGGGGCTGCCCGTAATTCCTTCTGTGATTCGGCATCTGACCTCCGAATAACCTGAAACTTGCGCCTATGCACCTCTTTACTTACTAGGACCTGAAATACGACAAAACAACACAACCTAGCGTAAAATAGGCCAAGGAACAATCAATTCGAGCCAAAATGGACAGGAAACCCGAGTGAAAACACGTGCAAATACGATGCTATCAGTAGTATAGCGGGTTTGGGTTTAATTATCAACCTGGGTCCTAGATTTGATGATTACTCAGTGAATTCTTGTTATCTAGCAATGAAACTTTAATGCAAGTCTAAACTAACAAACTAACAAAGCAAGTAAACTGTTGTATTCAGGTTAAGAGAGGTCACCCGGATATGGTTCCCCTTAAACTGCAGTTAAGCCGGATTGTAATGACCAAGTTCAGTTTCTATGATAGTTATACTGCGGAAGGTTCTTAAACAGCCTGAAGTCTCGACTAAAGGTCTTCAGACCCTCTCAATCTGAATCTCTAGCGGGCGACTAACCTCCACCGGAGTAAACAGATTGAGGCCTTAACAAACAAAACCTCCACTACCGAAGTGAATCCGGTACAGAATAGTGAGTTGGCTCCTCAACTAAAGTCACCAACTCCCTACCTTCAATCAAGGATGCTCTATCAACCTAGGCAGATATTCTCATTCTAGGTCAAAGCAGAAACAACAGGAATTTGATCAGGATTCAAGTCATTCAATCATTCAAACCTCAATCGAATATAATCAAATCATAGAATCAGTACTTGGGTTCATACAATCAAAGCCTAACATACAAATCTAGGGTTCTCCATACCCAGATGAATGGGAGAACTACTCCATGGAGAAAGAAGCAAAAGCAGAATCAGACGCGGAATTCATACTGTGAAGGATGGATTCCTGCTTCTAGACGTTTATCGGCACTTCTCCAAGCTCAAACTGGCCTCCAATGGTGATGAAGATCAAGCTAGGGTACTTGGAGACTCTTGTTCGTCGCTTTCTCTCTCTAGGAATCGCTCTGTCTCTCTAAAACTCGAATCCCTTTCTCTTTGGCTGAAAATCTGCTTAAAAAGGCATCAGTGGCCAAAGCACGGTCGAGGGCATGGCCGTGTAATGCCTCAGCCCGCCCGTGCTTTGGCTAGGGTTAATTACATGGCCACCTGTTGGGAGAAACACGGCCGTGCTTTGGAGAGGACACGGCCGTGCTTTGGGTAAGCCCTGCCCGTGTTTTTAGCCAATGTTTGCCAAACTCGAATTTGCTCTCGGCAGTAAAAGCACGGCAACTGAACACGGTCGTGTTCTGTTTTAGGTGTGCCCGTGTTTTGGCTCCAGCTCGACGAAATGACTTCCGAATGCCCCGAAACTCGTGCTTAGCCTTTCCTTTGACGCCTGGGACCTGAAATATGACAAAATAGCACAACCCGGCGTAAACTAGGCCAAAAATACACGACTCTGCCCCTCAAACGGATAAGAACTAGGGGCGCAAATACGTGCAATTACATCGTTATCAAATTCCCCCACACTTAACCGTTTGCTTGTCCTCAACCAAACCTAAGTCAAACCAATGCAACTCTCCAGACCTCTATAGCAACAAACAACCCAGATCGTAGGTAGAGGACTTCCTAGATCATTTAGCAACTTACGAGGTCAACCGACGCACAAGTCATCTCATAGCTCCTTCGGCGAGAGCACTAGTATCGAGTCGGCATCATGGCGAATAGTCAACAGAGGACAAATGAATTGTGGATGAAGAGATTCTCAAAAACAAAGGATCATGGACTCACATTTTTCAAGGTGCTCTATTTTCTTCTTGAAGATGGTTGGAACCCCTTTTCTTTCTGTTTTGCTTGTTTTCTATTATTTTCTTTTCTTTTTTTTTCTTTCAAGGGTCCCAACCTGCTCTTACCGGCCATGCCAGGAGCGGATGTCTCGAGCCTCGTGCGGGGGAAAGACATGTAAGGGGGCTGGAGGTAGTAGGTGGAAATTGGGAACGAATTCCCGTCTCCCCTTACACACTTTCGCCCTATTCGCACGGGAGACGTTATTTTGAAGCACATTTTCGAGCACCTATTAAACTCAAAACATGAAACAAGAGTCCATGACAGGTAGAGAGTCCACAACACCTCACAATTCAAGGGTCCTAAGATCAGTAATTCACTCAATCAACCAACACAATATGAAGAAGAAATGAGACTTCTTAAATGCATCAACATCCTCCATAGTGCTACACTACCTCCCTAGGTTGCATATTACTATAAAGACTGTCAATTCAAAGCATACTGAGCAGGCAATTGCACGGAAAAGCGTACTTGGAACCCTCAAATTTAAAATTTTGGACAGTGGACTAGGCTCCAAGCACACAAACAGATCTAATGCAGTCAAAATAAACATCCCCCCACACTTAAGATCGACATTGCCCTCAATGGAGAAGAGGGATGGAAAAGGGGAACGATGTTACCGGTATGCACGGACTGCAGGAGACTGGAAGCGGACCATTCGGAGTGAAGCGGACTGGAGAGAGGACCAGTCAAGACAAGCACAGCCAAAGGAAACCAAAGAGCTCAAGCACAATATGTTAGGTCCAATGGTCAGCCCAATAATACATCATCCAAAACAAAAGAAAACAAACCAAAACCAAACCGGTTTACAATCCGACTCAAACACAAGAAAGAAAGTCAAACCGTGGTGGGGTTGCCTCCCCACAAGCGCTTCTTTACCGTCTTTTAGCTGGAAGCCCATGGTGGATACTCAGGGAGGTGCAGGAACAGGTGCCTCCAAGAGCGGATCCACGTCGCTCTTGAGGTACAGCTTCAGGTTGTGGCCATGCACCCGACGGATGCGACCACCATCATCGGTCAGCTCAACCTGGCCATCCGGCAAGATGCAGGCGAGTGAGTACCCGGACGGCCAGGGTGGTCGTGGGGCAGGAGGTGGGACCAGCTCATAGTGGTCTCCACTCTTCTTCCGTGCAGGCTTAGCAACCTGCTGCTTCGGCCGCCACTCCTCCTTGAGCTTTTTGTTCGGAGGCGAGGCTGGATGGAGTGGCGGCGAAGGAATGATAGGAGGGTCCTGCAAAATAAGAGGTGCAGAAGGATACACGACAGGCTCGTGTACCTGATCAGAAATGGCATGTACAGGCGTGACAGCAATCATAGCACAGTGATCAAATTCAGTCATAGAAAAAGTAGCCTGTTCATTCCCAGCACGCAGGATCAGTTTACCATCATGCACATCAATAAGTGCCTTGGCGGTGGCAAGAAATGGTCTCCCCAGAATCAATGGCACATCCACATCCTCATGTATATCAAGAATAACAAAATCAACAGGATATGTGAATGCACCGACACTGACAAGCAGATCCTCTATGATTCCCCTAGGATGCACAATGGAACGATCAGCTAGCTGAATGCTCATCCTAGTAGGGCTAAGTTCACCTAGGTCTAGCTTTTTATACAACTTATATGGCATGACGTTTATTCTAGCGCCTAGGTCCGCCAAGGACTTGCCTACATGCATGCTGCCAATAGTAAGAGGGATAGTAAAACTCCCTGGGTCTTTTCGCTTCTCGGGCAGCTTGTTCTGCAGGATAGCAGAACACTCCTCACTGAGCATCACTGTCGAAAGATCCCCAAGTTTCTTCTTGTCGGTGAGGAGGTCTTTCATGAACTTGGCATACTTGGGCATCTTCGACAGTGCCTCCACGAACGGTATGCTGCTGTTGAGCTGCTTCAACATTGCCATAAAATTGGCAAACTCAGTCTCCAGCTTGTCTTTGTGTAGGCGAGTGGGGAAGGGAAGCTGGGGGTCATGCACTACCTGCACACAGTAAACCTCAGTAAACCTCCGGACTGGCTACGGGTCATGCACTACCTGCACACACTCAAGCAAGCAAACCCGTGAAGGCACAAGTGGGACAAAGTAATCAAAGCAAAAAGAAAAGCTAAATTAACAGAAATCACATTTTTTCAACAACCTAGCCGTCCCCGGCAACGACGCCAAAAACTTGACTCACTTCTACTGTCACCCTAGGAATTGGCCAAGTGAAATCACTTCCTAAAGCGTAGTATAGCGGGTTTGGGTTTAATTATCAACCCGGGTCCTAGATTTGATGACTACTCAGTGAATTCTTGTTATCTAGCAATGAAACTTTAATGCAAGTCTAAACTAACAAACTAACAAAGCAAGTAAACTGTTGTATTCAGGTTAAGAGAGGTCACCCGGATATGGTTCCCCTTAGACTGCAGTTAAGCCGGATTGTAATTACCAAGTTCAGTTTCTATGATAGTTATACTGCGGAAGGTTCTTAAACAGTCTGAAGTCTCGACTAAAGGTCTTCAGACCCTCTCAATCTGAATCTCTAGCGGGCGACTAACCTCCACCGGAGTAAACAGATTGAGGCCTTAACAAACAAAACCTCCAATACCGAAGTGAATCCGGTACAGAATAGTGAGTTGGCTCCTCGACTAAAGTCACCAACTCCCAACCTTCAATCAAGGATGCTCTATCAACCTAGGCAGATATTCTCATTCTAGGTCAAAGCAGAAACAACAGGAATTTGATCAGGATTCAAGTCATTCAATCATTCAAACCTCAATCGAATATAATCAAATCATAGAATCAGTACTTGGGTTCATACAATCAAAGCCTAACATACAAATCTAGGGTTCTCCATACCCAGATGAATGGGAGAACTACTCCATGGAGAAAGAAGCAAAAGCAGAATCAGACGCGGAATTCATACTGTGAAGGATGGATTCCTGCTTCTAGACGTTTATCGGCACTTCTCCAAGCTCAAACTGGCCTCCAATGGTGATGAAGATCAAGCTAGGGTACTTGGAGACTCTTGTTTGTCGCTTTCTCTCTCTAGAAATCGCTCTGTCTCTCTAAAACTCGAATCCCTTTCTCTTTGGCTGAAAATCTGCTTAAAAAGGCATCAGTGGCCAAAGCACGGTCGAGGGCACGGCCATGTAATGCCTCAGCCCGCCCGTGCTTTGGCTAGGGTTAATTACACGACCACCTGTTGGGAGAAACACGGCCGTGCTTTGGAGAGGACACGGCCGTGCTTTGGGTAAGCCCTGCCCGTGTTTTTAGCCAATGTTTGCCAAACTCGAATTTGCTCTCGGCAGTAAAAGCACGGCCACAGAACACGGCCGTGTTCTGTTTTAGGTGTGCCCGTGTTTTGGCTCCAGCTCGACGAAATGACTTCCGAATGCCCCGAAACTCGTGCTTAGCCTTTCCTTTGACGCCTGGGACCTGAAATATGACAAAATAGCACAACCCGGCGTAAAATAGGCCAAAAATACACGACTATGCCCCTCAAACGGATAAGAACTAGGGGCGCAAATACGTGCAATTACATCGTTATCAAGGACTCAATTAGTTTTGTACGCTTGTGTTGAAACGGATTATCTGCCATATGGATAGCCTACCCAATTTGAGTCGGAGTAGACAAGAGATGAATTGGCAGCAAAGTGAAGACCTGGAGCAAGAGATAAATGCCAAGAGAGTAGAATTAAAGTCAATTCATTCAATACAAGTTAGAGTGTGTGTAGATACAAATATAACCGAGTCATACCATTACCTGATGTAATTCCATTTGTCCAAAAACTTTACGTTAGAGTTTTAACTTAAAGCAAAACAAGTAAAAACATACCGTGCACTTTATGCATAACCGACTTTTGGCATTATACAACAAAGACAAATGAATAAATAAATGGCCATATTTACCTTACTGTGCTTTCATGTATAAATAAATACACAGTTGAAACCAACCACATGTACACCACAACATAACATCAACAACAGCAATGGAGAAGAAGGCATTGTTCTTGAAGATCCCTTTCTTCACTTTCATTCTGCTCACGGCTTCTGGTAATTATTTGATAATAATCTGACGCAACGCATCCTAACCTTTCATTCGAAATCTCCTTCGTCTCTTTGCGAATTTACGATAATTTTTTGCAGTTGCTTCCTCGTCAATGGCTGACGTCGAAACTGGGTCGTATTCGTCGCGAAAAGTTGGGCGTTATGGCCAGGAAATAGCAGGTGTTGGCCGTACTACTACTACTACTGATGCGGCGGTTTGTAAAAAGGACGAGGATTGTCTCAAATATTGTCCCCCTGTGTGCAAAGATAGGCCCAAAGAGATTCAATGCTCCTTCGTCGGCAACTGTTTCTGCAGCTGTATTACATAGACATCAGTTTGGGAAACAAGAGTAGAGTGAAGGCACATGATGATGAGGTTATTTTATGGGCTCGTAGGTATTTTCGGTTTGGGCTAGGGTGTTTTTTTCCTTTTGGGTCGAGTTTTCCTTTTGTGTTTGGGAGGGGTAGCCGAATAGGGGTAGGACTAGGTTACGTATTAGGCTTTCGTGAGTCTATAAATATGTAACTTGGGCATTAGTTCCGAATCAATCAATAAAGTTAAGGTTTATCGACACCAACGCCGTTCTCTCGCTCGTGAGTTTCGAGCAAACCCTAGAACAGAGGGAATCTGTTCATCACATGAACAATATTTTTTTTTACGGGACATATGAACAAGATTTCAGGTGTTTTTGTGTTGTTTTTCCTGGGTGGAAACTGGATTACTGCCACTAAGGAATGAGATATGGTGACAACCTCATTAGGGGGTTGTGAGATTGACAACTCATTTTATAACCATAGGATCCATTCTCTCTCTTGTCTCTTTCTTCTTTTTTTCAAATCAATGGTACATATTGGATTAAGATTATTTTTGGACGAAAAAAATTGACCACACTAGATTATTACCCCTATTAATACCTAAAACCCTACATTCTCTCTTTCCTCTCTCTCTCACGCCATCTTTCTTCTTCCTCCCATCTCTTCCCGCTCTCTCTATCGGCTTCCACCACCGTCGTCGCAGCCGTCCTGCCGACCCGCCACGCCCTTCGCCTCTCATCACTGCTACAGCCCTCCCGTCGTCGTGCCCTCCACCTCCCAGCACTGTCACGTCCCTCGCCCTGCAGCCATCGCGGTCTCCTCCTCCCACCACCGCCCCGCAGCCATCGCAGCCTCCTCCTCCCACCACCACCGTCGTTGCAACCCTCCCGCCGCCCTCTGTCTCCCACCATCATCGTCGCCACGAGGTCACCGCCTCTCCCCTGCCTCCCCCTTTCGTCATCCCTGATTTTTTATTTTTTTTTAGATCTGTGATTTTTCATATTTCAGATCTGATTTTTTTGTGCTAGTCTCTAGTGGTACGCTACCAGTGGCAATGGTACCGCTACCAGTGGTACTGGTACTGCCTAATGGTACTGGTACTGCTAATGGTACCGTTACAAGTGGTAATGGTACCGTACCACTAGCATTGGTAGCGTACCACTAGCACTGGTATATTAATTACCAATAGACTAATGGATTGATACACTTTTTAACGCACTGGTACATTTTTTCAGGTTGCCGGAGGGAGTCTGCCGGAGAGAATTCGTCGGAGAAAATGTATGTCCATCGAAGCGAAGTGGCCGCAGGAAAAAGAAAGAGAGAAAGATAGAGATATTAATGTATAGGATTTAACAATTATATTTAAAAATTATATTTAATATGGATTTTTAATTCCCAATCTGATTAATACAAAAAATAATTAATGTATTTCTCTTTTACATACCCAAAATAGGGTATACCCTTGATTGTCAATCTGTTATCCCGTCCCTGCCACTAATAAAAAAAGAAAAGTATATGTTTCACAAACGGGCCGCTCTTAGTTTCCTTTGTTACTTCTTCCCCTGACGAGGCCCATGGCCACTCCGGACCTGGTCTTAAGACTTCTGAAGCCCACAATCCCATTCGCAATTGAGCCCATTATTGGGTCTGGTCCAAATATCTCCAGATACTAACTCCTCACATGTTCGTTCATCTTCGCGGCAAGCCAAGTAGTAGCAGAGCTAGAACCCCATTCCCATTCACAAGAGAAGGTTAACTAAATTGCTCCAAGATCTCCTCCATTGGCAGGGAAGACGTTGCTACAAAAGAACCTCACTTCCCCTTGATATCCGTACAAAACAAGTAGCCATTACAGCTAGCACAAACAAGAACTAGCTAGGGAAGGAGATTTACAAAAGCAACAGAGCCACAAGAGGAAAACCTTCCTAACTGTACATTCTAAACCAGTAAGCTAAAGATGCACAAGCCATTCAGCTGCCGAAGACCAGCACCTTCCTCCTTTTATAGTTCCTTATTAACTCCCCTCCTTCATGGGTTCCTGTGCTGAGAGTGGTTGCACTGTTGGATCCTTCGGTTGAACTTCCTCGCCTAGAATGCTTTGCTAGGTTCACAAACTGAAATGATGGCGCACAACAAAATTATCAGTATGTCAGGAATGAGACGCGTGTTCGGTAGGATACGAGAATGAAACAGGTACCTTGTCGTCTCGTGCACGAACATAACCACGACGAGTTGTTGTGATCTTCCCTGCAACATTACTGGTGAAAGATCACAGCAGTCAAATACCACTAGGCAAAACCATCCATTGAAGTTTTGTAATAGATTACGGTAGACAGACGTTCCATCTCTACATAATCATGGTCATGATTGAGATCCAAAACGACAAACAGTAAAGATGTAATGTACAACAAACAAATCAACCCAGATTTGTTTACTGTAAGAAGCTATTGATCATTTTACGTAAATGGAACTAGGATGCATGCACACTTGGAACAGTTTCAGCCTGTATTTATCCCGGGACAGGTAAATATTCTTGGCTGGGAAAAGTAGTCCCATCACTGAATTAGCAACAGATGGCATTGTGGTTAACCATCCCAAAATAAAGAAATTCAGGATGTGATATCAATCACAAAAACCAAAGATATGTCTACAGCAATTTACTCTGGCTTCCCAGTAAACAGACAGCCCAAATGGTAACTTTCTAAAATAGCTTAACTATGAGGTACCTACCTGATCACCTTCTTTTTCAACAGCAACAACAATCATCCAATTTATGAGCACAAGTAAGAGACTATACATACTCATTTGCTTCATGTTCTCTTGTCACTTCTTCCTCCATTGGATCTTCAACGACTTCAGAGATAGGAGTTGATGCAACAAGGTCATGATCATCATCATCGCTAATTTGGAAAATGGGATTCGAGGCCACAGGTGTGATTTCTATAAAACGCAAATTTGAGGAAGATCTTCCAGTCAGTTGATGACTGCTTTAACTTCTCCTAATATGAAACGAAATGACATTAAAGTGTACCTTGCATTGAGCCTAATGCGGAAGGGGCTGACATCAACTGCTTGTGACACATGATGGTTTCCTGAAACTCAACAAAGGTGCAGTCTAGAAAAAGTAGTCTTTCGGAGTCTGCCATCTTCGAGAAGCCAAATGAACCAGTCCATATGTTCAGCATGCCAGCGACAGCAGGCAGAACCAGTCTTTGAACTCCTAACTCAACGAGCTTCTGAAGGGAAAAAAGAAAGATCTTTTGAACCAATGAGATAAACTAGATATAGAGAGAAGTTTTACCTGTGGGAGGGACTCGTTTACTTGGAGAAATAAATACTGGAAAATTTTAGCACATGTGGAAAGCTAACACAAACCAGAGAATAAAGATTTTTCACTTCATTCTCGACATTTTTCAAACGATAAAATGGTAATGAGAAAAAACGAGGAGAGGCCAGCATACCTTCTCAAGCACATTCAGTAAAACATGACACATTCCGAGTCGGCGATACTGAGGCCTAGTTGCAATGAGTGGTACTTCTGCCGCCTTCTCTCCAAAAACCCTTGAAATGAAACCAGTTAGGCATTGTAGTTAGTCAGCCATGGAACATGATGGCTTAGCAGGGATCAGTGGTTAATTGAAACTTTTCTTCTACATTCTTTAAACAAGAGTTCTGACCTTAACGTAGCCACCGTTATCACTTCATCATCTTTCTCCAATATAACTGTATAAAACCCATGAAAGTCCAAACGTCTAAGCTCGGATCTGTAATGTTGAACCAAGAAAAATTCAATGCACATATTTCTGGATCTGGAATATGCGGGCACAGGTGACTCTGCATGACTATTCAAGAACCAAACCATTTGCCGAAGGGAGCACTCTGGTACAGGAAGTCGTGCACAAGTGACAATCATTATAACTGAAGGGAGGTATGCGTTCACAAGCAAAGCTGCATTGCATGGACATAAAGGAGTTTCCAAAACGAAAGTAATGAAATTCTCACTGCCGAATGGGTTTAGTAATCATTGATCATGAGAAAAGAAACCTGACCACTAATTACTCTTTACTAGTCCCATACAGGAAAGGTAATTGCAGCCCAGGCAATCATGTTCAGTGGGTAAGCTATACAAAGGACTTGGTCTGTATTGCTATTCATTCATACCCTTTTTTTAAGACCATATGCTTAGATTAATACTTTGGATGTTATTCTGGAGGCACCAATGGAATAAACTAGGTTGATTTATCTAGTTTTCGTGATAGCTCCACCACCGTGCTATACTAAGAGTAAATAGTTTAACTGAACTGCTTCAACAAACACAGTCTCTCCTCCATACCAACAAAAGTGAAGGAAAGTGGCTAATGTAATTTCTTTTGGAATCATAGCGTCTAACCTTTTGCTGAAAATAACATCTTCAACAATATCTCTAGTGTGTGGCTCTTCTAGAGGCTCAAAACACTCATGCATCACGTGAAGAGCAACATTAAGCTTGCTGTAGCTCTGGGCCTGAATCTCAATAGTCGAAGAACCAAAGCCTGTGCTGTCAGACTCCACAAATTTCAGTAATGTCCAAGAAAGATTTTCCACACCCACTGGGATTGGTTTGCCTAGAAGTGCAGAGAGACTAGAGAATATCTGCAACATGTCAAATCCATACACTCAGAATCGTATCTTAGAGAATTCTAAGGATGATTCATTCTAAATTACGGCAAAAATCAGTATTGGTCACTCAAGGTCTTTTCTGAAGCGAGCCTATTTGACAAGGTGGGTTACCTGATGACTTAAGCCAGTAGTATTTTTTTCACCAGGTAATAAATCAAATCTCTTCATAAAATGTTGCATTTAAAATTGAGTCTATTTCTCTTCATCCATTTTGCAACAGAAACAAGGAAACATGATGGTCCAAAATTTCTACATGAATTCACAAATATGATTGATAAAGCAAATAATGGAAACATGTTAGTGTTATTTTAAGAGTCACATGATGGCGTTAGGCAGCATCAATCATCTTCAGACATACAAAAGAGGAAACATAATCAGACTTAGCCTCAATTCCGTAGGTAAACTGTTTCAATATATACTAGCCTCCACCCTGCCCTTTGGGCAGGTAGAATTTTAATTTTTTTCCCGTAACTTATAAATATATATGACAGCATCTAAATAATCAATTTGTTATCATTATAATATTACTTTAGGAAAAATACTAAAATTAGTGAAAATGTTCCCACAAACTATTTAACTGAATGTTCACAATACATTTCAAGTGAAATATCATATATATAGGTGAAAATTTTATCATTTTAATTGCATTAAGAAATCTATTATATATCCATGAAAATAATAAGGTATGATGTATATTGTAAATATGTATTATTAGTGCATCTAAATATATTTTATAAAAAGAGAATTTTTAACATCCCGGTAAAAATATCCATATTAAAAAATGGCTTAAGAATTAAGAAGTTCATTTCTTAACTTCACCAGAAAAACGTAATTATTAATCCACTCTCACATGTCACAAATCATGTTGTTAAATTGAAATTTTCAAATTAATTTTTCTTAGGGATGAACTTTTCAAATTATTATTTAATCTTAACCACAAAAAAGTTTGGAAAATGAATTGGGGCGCAACCCCTTGGAAGTTAAAATTAATAATTTTAAAAGGCCAAATTTCCAAACTAACCGACGCAGCAACTGCGGAAAGTTAAAGAAAATAATAAAAAAATGACAAATACCGAAACTCACGGAGAAGCCTCCAAGGCTTACGTGGACAGGGCTTATTTCTGAAAGCCTTTTAATATATTTTAAGATTTAAGATTATATGTAAGTAGCGGAATGTTTCAAGTACCTCTTCACAGTTCCTACTGCAAAACCAGCCTCTATTAGGATGATGTTCCAGCTCATCTATTCCTTTATTCCTCAAGCATGAAATATGATCTGCACCAAATAGAAGAGAGAGGTATCTAAGAGACAGTTCAAGAGGTTGATACTGTTGCTTAAGTTTGGTACCAATTGAACAACAAAGCTGGCCTACATTTATGCTCGCACTGGGTACAATTGAGCATGTGTTCATCCATGATGCTTTCGCTGTTGTTTTCTAATCCTTGATTGTTGCAGATTCTACAGCAGCATGATGGGCAGAACCAGTCTCCATCTGGAACAACCTGCAAAAACCAAGACGGAGAGTACAAGTTTCTGGAAAAGAAAAGTCAAACATAGTAACCACTGCAGCCTTTGAGACTATTTCTAGCCAGTAGGAGAAGGAAGAAAAGAAGATACACCATTTCAATATAATATAAAGCTGTAGACTAAACAAATTGGCTTACCGTCATATTAATGCAACTTGGATGGAAAGAAGATGGACAGAGGTCACACATTATGAGGTCTCCTCCATACCGACAGACAGAACATACATGGTCATTTTTCTCCACCTCCTGCCTTTCCTGCAGAATTTTAGGTTGTCGCACTGCTGAGTTTCTCAGCTTAGCATCACGCATTATTTGCACCTGACAATCTAGCAGAGTCCTTCCATCTTGCAGAAATATGTTGGAATCTGCCCCACAGTAGTTGCTGATACATTTGCCACCAACGTGATCGTGAAACCTACTAAGAGAGTACACCTTCATGCAACAGTTGCACTTGATGCCATCACGAGTTATGCGTCCTTCTGCAATTGAACATTCACCCCGAGCACTACGGTAATATACTTTTGCCCTTGGCAAGAGAACTTTGTTATCTACTAACCAGGACAACACGGTCTGACGATTCATATTTGATGCCCGCGCTACCATCTGCTGTGCTCCTTTGCTTGATTGACGACATATTGGTTGAGTAACTATTGCATTAGTTTTTAACTTAAAGGAACCTTCGGAAGTTCTTGAACTTCCTGAACTTGGAAGTTGGAGTTGGAAACTGTGAGAATCTAATTCATCTTCTGTTTGATGTGGATGAAACGGGATATTGGTGCCATCTGTTCTTTCTTCTTGGCCTATCCTAGTCCCTCCGATATCCATGCCATCCAGTTCAATGGATCCAGAAGGAATATCTATCCCACTTTCTTGCATATAGATTTTGCAAGCCCGTCGCAGAGAATAGTATGACCTCCCAGCTGGTGAAATATGTTTCAACTCCCGTCTACCACTGTGAACGGTATACATAAACTTCCATCCCTCAACTGCAAGGTGTTTCCTTGCCCTTTTTGCCATCACATGATATTTTCCTTTACCAGCTGCTTTCCTCCTCGCTTGGTCATAGCCAGAAAAGATATACCAATTGACAATTGCTTCTGGGCAACACTCGGGTTTAATGTAAACATATGACTGAGCAACAGCTTCAGTAGAAATTTGAGAATCATGATCCTTGATTGGTTGTTCAAGAAGAGAAGACAAATTTCCACCCCCACCATCTTCAGAATCCCTGTGCTCTTGCACCGAGTTAAAAGAAGGATCTTTACTACCTGAATTGCTGAACTCAAGACAGACCTGACGCAAAGAAGAATAGCACTGCCCACTGGGTGAAGTATAGCGCACTCTCAAAATGCCTTTGTCCCTCATACTCAAAATGCCTTTGTCCCTCATAAATTCAATTTTCCAGTTCATGTAGACCAGGTGAGCCCTGACATCACCAACTACCCTTTTGTTCCCATTTGCATACTCAGTAATAGCAGATGGGCAAAATTTAATTCTAGGAACGATGTCTGAGCCAGCAGGACACCAAGTACTGCTGATCTTCTGGGAACTGGACCTAGAAGTTTCGCCATTGCGAGTAAGAATGCTACTTATAGGAGTTGCATTAGGAACAAATGTTGAGCCTAACGTGTCTGGAAGCATCAAAGGTAAAGCTTTCACATGGCAAGATGTGCTTGATTGTGAAATGCTGGTAATTGATTCGTCGTTCTGTGGAGAAGACATAATCTTTTTCCCAACTCTGTTTCTCCTGTCATTTGGATCCACTGCCCCAGCTGAGTCTACTTTAGCACATACGGCATTACAGCTAAGTGATTTAGCAAGCTTAGTCAAATTTTTCATACCTTGTGGAAGACTTGCCTCCTGGAAAAGGTGGTTCAGGACAATTTTTAGATTGTCATTAATCGTGTCCACGAGCAACTCTTCCCAGATAGATCTTGAACATGAAGTCCACCCCCCAAGCTTCTTAAACCCTTCCTTCTCCTGCAAGTCATACCAAAGTTGCTTAACAGATACAGGAAGACAACGCACTTGTTCATATTCCTCAATCAACTCTAGAAACAACCACGTCCCGCGCTGCTTCCACTGCTCAGTGACCTGATTCCATTCCTGAGTGATCCTCATTGTATCAAGATGGGCAACAACTTCATCGCCCAAATCAGGGAAAAAGACTTTCCTTTCATCTGATCCATCTTGATGATCGAAAATCACCCCTTCCCACCAAGCTTCATTGAAACTCACATCCACACACAATCCATAGGAGAGGATCCATTTGCCAAACTCAAGAGGTGGCGGCAATGGCCTAATGTACCCACGATCAATATTGTCATCCACAAAGAGAGAAACATCCACATGACCAACAAGGAAATCAGACTTGTCATGGCGAAGCATGTGATCGTACTTGAATTTGTACTTCAGTTGCCATCGTTCCTTAAAACATGCAATGACTGTCCCTGGGTGCCATGAGCCTAGGAAACCTTCCTCCTCGCTTCTTACCTATTAGCATTTCATATGTCAACAATAGCACTAGAAAAGCTTCCATACATAAACAAGTAAACTACAACTAAAAGCAAACTACGACATCATATGAGAGTTTCATTTGGCAGAAAAGGAAACCCATTCATAACCTGGACGGAATCAAAGAAATTAAGGAAGAAACAGTAGGGAAAGCCATGAATTAAGCCTTGCATACGAATTACGAAGGAAAGGGAACATGCATAGATCAATCGGCAAAGAATAACCCATGAATCTAAAATGCAGCTTCAATTCCTCCTTAAACCAGTTTAGGAAACTCGAAATCGAAGCTGGATAGTGGAAATGACCCTGTTACAAGAAAGAGACAACTAGGCCAAAAGGGCATGCAGAGACGAAATGTCCAAGGATTCAAATGTCTAACGAGCAAACTGAGGGAGGTCTAAAGAAAAGTCAAGCAACCAGACAGACACAAAAACGCAGGGAGTAATTGCAGTCGCTCCGATGATAGCCTCAGGGAAAGGGGAAACCAGCTAGAGAGATATAACGGCATTATTTTCTTCTCCTTTTGTTTGAAATGCATACCTCCACTTTCTCATGCAGCGGTAGCAGGCGTACGGTTCGTCGGCGCTTCTTTTCCCCGGCGGACTGATCGGTTTCTACAGAAGTGGAAAGCGGCATTCCGAGCGATTTTGGAGAGAAAATGGAGGGAGTGGCGAGTATATCAGACAAGGGGGTTCCTCACGCTCTATACATGATAGTCGACATTGATGGATGCAGAGCGGCAATGGAATCCAACAGCATGGTGGGGATTCTGCTTGGGATTTATAATGACCGCTTTGCACTTCATATCAACCAGTTAGAAAAGAGGGAATAACATCATGAAAGTTGGAAATAAGAGAGACAACCTCAACGTAACAACGTGACGAAAAGGATAAATTAAAAACGAAACAAAATTAAAGTATGATTGAATCAGACAAGGGGATTTCCTTTCTTGAGCCAAATCACACAGCATCCAGAACACTCTAGTCTTTACAAATTACCATCCCATTTATCGGATTGGCACAAAGCCAGCTTTCGATTCGTCTAATACAAACTTGACCATTGCAATTGAACAAAACAATATCATATGTTGCCTTTGAGGAGTTGTTCGAAAACGACCCATCACAATGAATCACCGAATTTGAATTACGCAAAGGTGGACAGGATTATAACAGGACTACTCATAGCTTAAACAAGGTCAAATGACCCAGAGGCAGAGATACCCATGATAAAACAAAGCTAGAGCACACCTAGAGATGGCAGGTGAGACCCGCTCTTATGGGTATTCCCCAACCTTATCAGTGTTGGCGCTGATAAAGTCGACCCATGCTAAAACATGGTTGAACTTGATCTGATCCACAACTAAAATGGAGCAGGTATCGATCATTTTTGTTGCCCCGTCTTGCTCCGCCGCATTCCACCCCGAGCAGTTCACACTACTCGCACACCAAAAGCTCCACCATGCACACCCTGATCCTTATCCTAATCCTATACCTTGGTCCAAACTAATAAAGAGCCCTAACTATTTTGATTCTTTCCAACCCAAATAAATAATTAATGCATTACCTTCCCCATGTATGCATTCCATCTTCCTTTCAAATTTTGCACTACATTAATGAATGAGCTCTCCTGCGATCTGCGATAGCAGTTGCAGCAGATACGGAGTAAGAGATAGAGAAAGAATGGAGAAGAAGACGATGGCGGAAGCATTACATCAGAGAAAGATGGGTTGCTTGTAAATGTGACAGTGGGAATTTTATTTGCCCCGTGCGGGGAAATGTTTGGATCGAAAAGTGTCGACTTATTGCGGGACACGAGGCAGAGTGGAAAGTAAGCTTAAGAGAAGAGTGGAGTGCGAGGTTGGTTGTATCTGTCCCAAATCCGACCTGTTGTCATTCCTAAGCACACCTAAGGGTTGAAACTCTACCAAACAAAAACCAAAAGAAAATAATAGAAACATCAACAAGAATCTTACTAGCAGAAACCAAAAGCCAACAGAGACCCCCACAAAAACCTAGAACCAAAACATAAGGAAGAAGCACATACAACACCAGCAACAACCCGCAACCACAGAAACAAAACAACCCTAGATGAAGCTCAGATCTCAGAGAACCATGGACGAGTCACTGCGGTAACAGAAAAAGACAACGTTACCCACAGACGATCACCAGGGTCACATAGACCATGCTTCGGGGACGACGAAAAATAGGGAAACTATAAATGCAATCACCCACAAGGATGACCGCACCAAGATTGGAGGAAAACCTTCACATTAGGTCCACTAGAGGCCCCCCTATTTACATCACCGGACCTAGAGCAGAGTGAGGCCAAACCATATCTAAAAGAATCTTGAACAAAACAAGAAAATCCATCTTCGCCAGAGAGGATTATAAAAGGATTATACTAAGGGAACGAGAGAACGCCGCTAAGGGCTGCAAATCCCAATGATGGTTGGAAAATGTGAGAGCCATGGAGAAGCCACATATGGCTGGAAAGACAGAGAAACCACAAGGAAAATGCAAAAGAGCCAGAGAAACGGAGAACACAAAAGAGAAAATTTGGACCACCGTCGATCACCTGGTGGTGCCAACGCTAGCCCTGCGAAAGAGATGCTAGAAATATAGAAAAGGGAGAGGTTTTGAAATTGGAGAGATAAATTTTTTAGAAGTTCTCGTGTTTTTGCTTGTTCAGGTACGAGTCTATAAAACATATCCTCTTTGAATAGGTCGTGATTTGAATTAATCATTAGTATGCTATAAGAGATAAAAATTGTGATGTGAGTTGATTGGTGTATGTTGTTATTGGCGGATTGACCTTCAACTTAACATATTAGCGTAATTGTTTAAATAATATTATTTACTCGAAGGAGGGGTGTGACCTCTATTTGTCACACTCATACTATCATAATAAGAGTTTCTTTCTCTAAAGACCTTTAAGTGTTTGTGAATTATATTTAATGAAAAAATATGTGATTTAATTACGTGGAGTAAGATATTAGTAAAACTATTTGGAAAGGATAGTAGTATATTCAGACAACACTATCTTAAAGTGAACCATAACATAATTTGTTTATAATCCAAATATCATGATATACGAAAGATCTCTTGAGTATGCATGACCAGGTGGTAATGGCTAATGAAATGACCTCAAGCTCAAGATCTGGGTTTCAGAATTGTGCAGCCATGATCAAACAAGAGGTTTGATAGATGAATGAGTTCGAATCCAAAAATAGGGGTGTGCTTGACGGAGGTTTGTGATGGAATTGGATCCAAGTTAGCAACTTCAACACGAAGGGGAAAAGGCTGATTTGGGTAAGATAGAATTACCACCCAATCAATTGTGACCGATTGATTGAAGGTCTGCAATTCTTGGGCTTCGCCAAGAACCAAAATGAATTTCGCAAGCTCAATTGAATACTCCTCATGATAAGGTTTCAATTCAATCAACTATCCCTTTACAACGATTAAGCAAGGATGTTTATAGACAAAAGTTAACTAACTACAAGCCTCCACTAATAAGGACATGAAATCAAAATAGAAAAGGGAATGAATATTTTTCAAACAAGGTAACTCAGACTCTAAGCAACTAACTTCTTCCACAAGTAATTCTTCCTAGAAAACATGGCTCCATACGATCTTTGAGGCTCTGGGAAATGGTCTTCCAAGTTTAGTTTAACTCATCTAATGCCTTTACGTTGTTCAGCAACATTGTACTTTCGTCTCCAACTCCTAACTTCCCTCGACTGTCTCCCAATTGGAACGAATAAGTCTCCAAAGATGCTACCTCACTCACAGTTTCTGCCTTAGCCAAATTTTGGTAGTTTTGGTTCTTCACTAGCTTAACACTTGAGAATGCATTTGGATTGACTTGCAAGCAACCTAGGAGGCTTGCATCAGCTAAATATGCAAGATATTTTTCTGATGAACCATAAGTCATATCTGCTTTAGCATGATTATGGTTACCAATAACAGAGTTGTCAAAGTTCATATCCCCAATAGCAGAGTTGTTCCAAAGTTAAATATCGATAAATTCTTCTAATAGATGTATTTACAAGATTTTTATTTGAGATATTTTACCTAGGATAACCCATGGTGGCAGGGGCAGACCCAAGGAGGTTTGGGGTTGTCTCGGGACACTCCTAAAATTCGGGGAAAAGTTATCAAACCCCCGGTAGTAGTTTGAGTCTAAAAAAAGGAAAAAAAATAATAGCGGTTTGTGGTATTCAAACCTAGGATACCCTTGTTATTAGATAATATATTGTCCATTAGACTAGAACTCATCACTTGTTATAATTTTAATATACCTATAATACCCTTGTTATTAGATAATATATTGTCCATTAGACTAGAACTCATCACTTGTTATAATTTTAATATACGTATAATTATAAGGTGGTTTCTATCGTACCTTGGGTAAAATCTAGGGTACGACATACACTAAGTAAGAAAACACTATCTAGAACTCGAATTAACCGGATTTTTGGGCATGATAATATACCCTAATCATAGAGTCTAACCCTTAAGATTGTGCATGTAATTTGTTGCATATATTTTGACGAATCATAACCGTTGATTTTTATTTATAATTAAATTGATCTTAGTGTATGAGATTTATAGAATTAAGACCTGGATTTTAATCTTTAAAGGTTTATAAATAGTACCATATGCCAAACTTTGGTCAATTCGAAGTCTAAATAGCTTTTTCTTACACAAGGGTATGTCGTATCCTTGATTTTACCCAAAGTACGATACAATCATCCTTAATTATAAACATATGAATTTCATCCCCAATGTGACAACAAAACCCTAAAATTAAACACGACTCTTCTATTCAACCAACTCCTTTCAGCTTTGGGTTATGTTGGGCATGTGACTCGGACCTAGCCGCGCCAGAGGAACGCACCGACACTACCCCAAATGCCGCCAAACCCGTCAGGACGCGACGCGACCGAAGACCCCTAGCGCGGTCCAGTGCGAAGATCCCAGCGCGGTTCAGCGCGAAGGATCGAGCGCGACACTATGAAGGCGGACCGGCGCGAAGACCTCGAGCGCGGCACAGGCTACGCTCACGTGGAAGGATCAAAGCGTGGACCAGACCAAAGAGCCGCAGAAAGCATCGTCTCGCTTCCCGAGGGGTAGTCACATCAGGGTACCAAGCACAGTCATAGGTAAGCCTCTGACATGTCCTAGGTATAGGCATGGCCTAAATCCCTAACATGTCAGTGGTCATGTCATTGTACCATCATGTAGCTCAACCACTCACCCACCACCATGTAGCCTATAAATAGGGCATTTACTCCACTGGGTGAGGGGATCGGATTTTTCTGACTCTATCTCTAAGATTATCAACTTCTCTCTCTAAGATATTACCCTCTCAACTCTATTCGGAATTTCCTCAGTTCTTCCATCGTCGGTTATTCTCCCATTGCTTACTCTCCTTGACCCATCTTCCCGAGTCTTTACCGGCGACAAATTGAAGGCCATAGAGGAAGAGGTCGCGCGGTTATTGGCAGCGGGATTGATACGCCCGGTGAAATATCCAAAGTGGTTGGCAAACGTAGTCCTGGTGAAGAAATCTTCAGGAGCCTGGCGAATGTGCGTTGACTACACAACAATCAACAAAGTGTGCAGGGAGACCCTTACCCACTCCCTCGCATTGACCAACTTATCGACGCCACCGCCGATCACGAGACACTGTCTTTCCTTGACATGTTCTCGGGATACCACCAAATCCCAATGTCCCGCGAAGATGAGGAAAAAACGGGTTTCATGACGCTGTTTGGAAACTTCTGTTTTGTTGGGATGCCGTTCGGATTGAAGAACGCAGGCGCGACATACCAGAGAATGATCGACACGGTGTTCTCCCGACAGATTGGGCGGAACATTGAAGCATATGTGGATGATCTCATTGTCAAGACCAAAGCGGGCAATTCACATCTGGAGGATCTGCGTGAGACGTTTGAAGCTCTCCGCGAACATAACCTTCGCCTAAACCCATTAAAGTGTGTTTTCGGAGCAGAAGCGGGGAAGTTTCTTGGGTTCATGATAACCAAGCGCGGCATCGAAGTCGACCCAAAACAAATCACGGCGGTCCAACAACTACGGGCACCAAGAAGCGCATTGGAAATCCAATCCCTGAATGGCAAAATAGCAGCGCTGGGGAGATTCATACCAAGGTCAGCCGACAAGTGCGCGCCCTTCTTCAAAACACTCAAAAGCGGCACAAAGTTTGCATGGACCAAGGAATGTGAAGCAGCATTCCAAGAGATGAAAGCGTATCTTGTATCCCCTCCTGTATTGACCGCTCCCAAGCTTAATGAAAAATTATTCCTTTATCTGGCCGTGTCGACAAGAGCTGTGAGCGCAGTCCTGATATCCAGAAGAAATGATAAAACCGAGCAACCTGTGTATTATACTTCGCGTACGCTAGTCAGCGCGGAAACAAGGTACTCCCCAATAGAGAAAGCCGCCCTGGCATTGGTAAGCGCGTCACAGAAGTTGCGTCCCTATTTCCAAGCGCACCAGATCACTGTCCTGACCAACCTCCCGCTAAAGAAAATCCTAACTTCGATGGAAGTGTCGGGGCGCATGGTGAAATGGGCGGTCGAACTCTCAGAATACGATATCCAATATGCGCCGAGACCAGCAATAAAAGCCCAAATCCTAGCATATTTCATCGCTGAAGGAGTCACCCTCGAAACAACACCAGAGGGAGTATGGGAGGTTTACGTCGACGGAGCGGCAAATAAACATGGTGCTGGCGCGGGGGTCGTTGTGCGCACACCCACAGGCGCCGTTCATGAGATAGCAATCAGATTCAGAACGTTGAAGACGAATAACGCGGCCGAGTACGAGGCCATCCTGGCGGGAATGACTGTCGCCCACGAATTGGGCGCAAGAACGATAAGGGTACTTTCCGACTCCTCCCTGGCAGTCAACCAACTGAATGGAACCTTTGACGCAAAGGAAGACACCCTTGCGCATTACATGGAGCGTGTCAAGCTACGGGCAGCCATCTTCGAGGTGGTAACTTACGTGCAAATACCGAGAGAGGAAAATGTGCACGCCGACGCGCTATCCAAGCTAGCAACCGCCACCGACTTCGAGACAACGCGTCTCGTGTCGGTCCAGAAGGAAGAAGAGGAAAATCGCCAAGAAGTGGCGATTAACACCACCCAACTCATGCCCGATGAGGACAGGAGAACCCCAATTGTGCAGTACTTACAAGATGGTACGATACCGGAGGATGCTAAAGAGGCGTGGACTTTGAGACAAAAGGCGGCCCGATGCACACTCATTGGAGGAGAATTGTACCGACGGTCGTTCTCGGGTGTCTACCTAAAGTGCATCGGACAAGAAGAGGCGCGCGACATGGTACGTGACCTACATGAAGGGTTGTGCGCAATGCACGCTGGCCTACGCAGCATGGAGGGCACCATTTTGCTGCACGGATACTACTGGCCGCGAATAAAAAAGGACACGAAGAAATACGCGGACCAGTGCCACAAGTGCCAAGTTAACGCGCGTCAGCACCATCTCCCGTCCACCGAGCTCCAAGCCAACCTGAGCCCATGGACTTTCGCGCAATGGGGAGTGGATCTCTTGGGTCCCTTCCCAACGGCAAAAGGAAAGCGCAAATACATTATTGTGGCAGTAGACTACTTCACCAAATGGATCGAAGCTGAAGCACTAGCCTCGATAACGGCGCAACAGGTGACGCTCTTCCTGAAGAACAACATCTTGTCGCGCTTTGGAGTCCCGAACGCGCTCATCTTCGATCACGGGAATCAGTTTGATTGCGCAGAAGTGATAGATTTCTGCGACCAAGTAGGAACCATCGCAAGGTTCGCATCGGTAGCTTATCCCCAAGCCAACGGCCAAGCGGAATCCGCCAACAAAGCAATCGCGCATGGCTTGCACACCCGCTTGAACGATGCCAAAGGTAATTGGGCTGACGAGCTCAACACAGTGCTATGGGCGCACCGCACCACGTACAAAGTGGCAACGGGCGAAACCCCTTTCGCCCTTACATACGGCACCGACGTGGTAATTCCCATTAGGACAACAGCCCCGACCTATCGAATCACGAGGTACAACGAAGAAACCAACGATGAAGCGTGTTTGCTGGTCCTGGAGTTGTCACAGGAAAGGCGCGAGTTGGCAGCAATCAAGCTGGCCGCAATGAAAGAGCAGGTAGCCAAGTACCACAACGCGAAGCTGGTTCCACACAAGTTGATCCTCGGAGACCAAGTACTACGGCGGAACTTCCGTCCCGACCCCAAGCACGAAAAGCTCGCCTCAGTGTGGGAGGGTCCATACCTAATCCGCGAAGTGGTCGGTGCCAACACCTTCAAACTCAGCAAGTTGGGGGGCAACAAGATACAAAGAACGTGGAACGCGCAAAATCTCAGGAAGTATCACCAGGCAACTTAATATGTATTTTACTCGCTATGGCGCTTTGTCGCAAGGGAATGAAAAGTACTCAGTTCGCAAGAACAAAAATTAGCAATAGTCAAGCACTATTTGCGCCCACTCAGTTCGCAAGAACAAAAATTAGCAATAGTCATGCACTATTTGCGCCCACTCAGTTCGCAAGAACAAGAATTAGCAATAGTCCCGCACTATTCGCGCCCACACATTTCGCAAGAACAAAAATTAGCAATAGTCATGCACTATTTGCGCCCACTCAGTTCGCAAGAACAAAAATTAGCAATAGTCCCGCACTATTCGCGCCCACTCGGTTCGAAAGAACAAATAATAGCGATAGTCATGAACTATCTGCACCTGCTCGATTCGAAGGAACAAACGAACACATTAACAAATAAATGCCAAAAATGAAGACTCTTTGGATTCGATTAAGCGGGAGCATCAACATTGTTCGCAACTACACTTAAAAAAAAATAATAAGAAGAGGAAAAAGAAAATAAGAAAGGCAACAAAGCAACAAACTCAAAAAGGAAACACGTTAGCGCGATAACACTTAAGCACCATCAGTGTCAGGCTGAACATCCTCTCTACTCTGCCTGTGGCGCAGCAAGGGCTGAACATCCTCTTCCTCGTCATCATCAGCTTTCTCGCCATCCCTACTCGCGCCCTCAGCTTTCTCCCCGTCCGGGCGCTCCTCCCCTTCCCCATCCTCAGCTTCATCCTCATCCCCTGACTCGGAGTCAGACTTCAAGGGCCGCTTCTCGCCAATCCACATCTTGACGTGTTGGACCATTTCGCAAGTATCCCAGCGAACCCCCGGGTTCTCTGGCCGAACCTTCTTCCCGACCGCGATCACGGCCTTGGTCATGGCGTCCGCCAAAATCTTCCCGAAAGAGGGAGAAGACTTGAACTGACGAACGGCCGCAACCTCGGCCGCGCGAACAGCTTCTGCTTTCGCGACACTGTGAAGGCGGACCAGGTCGTCATTCTCCTTTTGAAGCTCTTCGCGAGCTCGCTTCAGCTTCTCAGCATAAGAGGCCTCCAGCTGCGCGCGGATGGCGGAGCGCTCCTCGACCCGCACCTGCTCTTTAGCCGCCTCCACGTCGGCGGCCAACTTGCTCTGCAGGACGCCGAGCTTCTCCATCGCCTCGTTGGCTTTATACGTTGCCACGTCGGCACGATTGTTCGCCCCAATAACCTTCCCCTCCAGCTGGACGATCTTCGCCTCGTCGTCCTTCATCCTTGCGCGCTGCGATGCGCGCTCCTGTTGAACCCGGAAGGTCGCCAACAAACCCTACAACCACAACGCTAAAAGACTTAGCAAAACTTAGCAAAACATTGCATTCAACCCTCGAGAACTCAACCCGATCTTACCGCGAGTGGACCTGAGCCAGGTCATGAAGGGGATCAGACTTCTCCACTCGCAGCGGAATACTTAGGACAGGCCCGAGCGCCCGGAGTGCGGCATTCGCGGACTCCAGGTTGCAAGCCGCCCCGGTATGAATCCGCACATCGCGGAAGTAGTTGACAACAGCGGTGCCGGGAGCGGCAGTGGCGGGAGTCCCCCCATAGCCAGCCATCTCGGGCAGTTTCTGCTGGACGGTGGCTGCTGACGAGCTGCCAGCCCTCTCTCTCTTTAGCCGAGAAGGCCTATTCACCGGCGCCTCTGGCTCCGAAAGCGCCAGAGATAGCTGTCGCGCTGCAGATAACGGTTTTTCCTCTTGTGGAGTCTGCGTCGTCCGCGCAGTCGGTTCTGCCAAACGAGCCGCCTTAGTACCTTACGGGGCTTTTCAGCCTACAGTGGCTGCTCAAGTTCCTTCCGCTTCGCAGTCCTCGGCACCGCGGTCACCTTCTTCTTCTTCTTGTCAGCGCGCGGCGCCTTCACGATGTCGTCAACCGACATCATGCTAACCAGGCTGGAGAAGTCAATACCTGCGCCAATAAGTCGTAAGAGAGCGGTTAATATGATAAAATGCAAAAGATAAGAAATATAACTAACCATCGTCAAACAGCTCCGCTAAACAAGCCTCGCGGACTCCACCCTCGTATAAATTGATCCTATGAGGCATGCACGCATCATACTCATCGTTGAGCCCGTCATAGTTGTCGGCATCCGACTCATATCCGAGCGTGCTGCCTTTCTTCCAGACAGTAGGCTCCTCCACAAACTCACTCGCCCACTCTCAAGGAGTGTTCTTGACATAGAAAAAGCGCTCGAACCAAGTTTTCTTTAACTTGGGAGATCCATACACGAAGCCGTCCGGCCTCTTGTCGCGACGCTTGATGGAAAGGCAGTCGCTTCTTGTTGTTGGCTCCTTGATTTTATAGATCTTCCGGAACAGGCCGTAGGTCGGCTCGAAGTTAAGCCTTTTGCACGCGAGGCGGAGACAGCTCGCGTGCATGATCACAGATGGGGAGAGCCGCCCAACGGAGCAGTTAAGGCGCCTATACAAAGCGCATAATAGAGGGTCGATGGGGAACTTGAACCCCATCACCCAATACTCTGTATAAACGCCAAACCACCCCAGGGGGCAATTGCCCACCATGCTTCGCGCAGAAGGAGCGGCGTACTACTAATGGGGGGGCAAGCCCAGTCCGCAGAATATCTCCGCCACGTCACCAACATCGTATATAGAGGCGTGTTCGGGCCCGCGTTTGAGATTGTCGTGCGGCGCCGGCTGATCGCCCCACATCTCTACCCATTCTATAACAGTATACGCGGCGCCAACACCGCGTAACCCCAGTCGGGCCATGGCTTCTGATACGCGCACAACATGATGTGACTCTGATTGTGCGCCAGAGTCTTCGCGCACTTCATCGTTGGCAACCCCTGGCCTACCATCACGATCACGCCGGATTATCAGCACCCCACGAGCTCCTTGTCTCGCCTGCCCGCTCCCGGAGGTAACCATACCCACGTCGGAAGAACCGCAGGGATCATTATCCGACTCGACGTCGACGTCGAATGACGGCGTCACCGGAATCCCTTCGTCACCGCCGCCGTCCCCATCGCCGGAACCACCCAATTCCAGCGAACGATCAGTAGAAGTGTGCGAAAGAGGGGAGAGATTACCTTCTTCGCCTTGTACGACCTCGGCCTCGTCGATGTTGATGCTAGCCATGATAATAACTCGAGTTTTAGCAACAACAAAAGGAGAATCGAGGTTGTAGAAGAAGGAGAGGAATCTCGGAGAAGGGATGAACGAAGAAACAGGAAGCAGAGTCAAAGGAAACAGATGAGTCCCACTCCCCCACAGCAAGCCCATATTTATAGTCGGCCAGGGGAAAACGAAGGGTTAAAGTCACATAGGGATCCGTAACAGTCAGATCCTACAAAAATCTTTTCGAATTTCAAAAATCCCCGCCCAAGTAGCCCAATCATATAGGGACACGTGGACACCTACCATCATAGGCACTAGTCGATGACGCCACAAGTGCCACGCACCGCCTGGGGGGCATGACACACCCACGAGGAAGAAAAAACACACCCCAAGCCCAACTTCGATCGTGCACAAAAATCAAATAATCGCGTGATCAATACAACCTCAAGCGCAAGCGTCGCGCGCAGCTTAAAGTAACACGCACAACGAGCGTGAAGAATCCCACGAAAGCCACGCGATCAGCGCGACTCCAATCAGGCGGAGATCAGCGCGGTCGGTAACGAACCCGGAAAATTTACCCCACGGAGATCACGCAGGCCCGAGTCAATCAAGCGGAAATCTAAACAGGTGGTATTCACAGAACACCCCCTGATGGGGGGCAATTGTTGGGCATGTGACTCGGACCTAGCCGCGCCAGAGGAACACACCGACACTACCCCAAATGCCGCCAAACCCGTCAGGACGCGACGCGACCGAAGACCCCCAGCGCGGTCCAGCGCGAAGATCCAAGCGCGGTTCAGCGCGAAGGATCGAGCGCGACACTGTGAAGGCGGACCGGCGCGAAGACCTCGAGCGCGGCACAGGCTACGCACACGTGGAAGGATCAAAGCGTGGACCAGACCAAAGAGCCGCAGAAAGCATCGTCTCGCTTCCCGAGGGGTAGTCACATCAGGATACAAGCATAGTCATAGGTAAGCCTCTGACATGTCCTAGGTATAGGCATGGCCTAAATCCCTGACATGTCAGTGGTCATGTCATTGTACCATCATGTAGCTCAACCACTCACCCACCACCATGTAGCCTATAAATAGGGCATTTACTCCGGTGGGTGAAGGGATCGGATTTTTCTGACTCTATCTCTAAGATTATAAACTTCTCTCTCTAAGATATTACCCTCTCAACTCTATTCGGAATTTCCTCAGTTCTTCCATCGTCGGTTATTCTCCCATTGCTTACTCTCCTTGACCCATCTTCCCGAGTCTCACTCCTACACCCAGTTAGGCTCAAACAGGTTACATCAAGAACAAGTTTCGTTATCGACTAGACGATCAGTTCGTGAACGATTGTCATGTAAGATATATTGAAAGAGATTTGCTGAGTATTGTAGACACTAAGTGTATTTTACAATATTTTCATAATATGAAAATACGGCGGGGCCTTTTGTTGTAACTTGTATTAGTCGAATATATTTTCATTGAACACTAGTTGGATAATTCTCTTCTTTTGAAAGAGTACACCCCTACATAAAAATTTCTGAGTCCGCCACTGCATGGTGGAGTGAACTGACCATCATCGTGGGTTGTACCACCTTGATAAGGTTGAGTTATATTGGTCTAGCTTTAAAGCTTGTGTCTTTTGAAACAACTTTTGAGCTTTTCTTTGCAGGTCGTGACGGCCTGGACCTATTATTGAGCACTTTTGGTCCACCACTGCACACCTCTTGCGACTGGCACCACGAACTCTTTTAGTTGGAAATTCTTTGCTTTTATTAATCATCAATCTTAATTCGATCCTGTATTCATCCTCTAGTGTATCTAGGCCTAAAAATAATATAAAAATTGGGTAAATTGCAAGGTTGGTCACTGGAATTACAAAAAATATTTGTGTATGTCACTAAAAATATTTAATTCCATTCGTAGTCACTAAAATTAGTCAAGTATTTCAAATTTGGCCACTCTCCGTCCAACTGCGTTAATTTTTGCTTACGTTGTAGTCAACTCTTATAGTTGACCGTTAAATGTGTGACATGGCAGTTAAAAAATAATAAAATAAAATATTTAAAAATTTCACTTCATTTCTAACTATTATAAAGACAAAAATAAAATTTAAAAAGAAAGTGCTCTCCGCTGCCACGTTCTCCGACAACCATAACCATAGTCACCAACATCCACAGCTGGAAGAGAGCAACAACAAGAAGAGATCCTCAACTTCCAGGGGAAGCAACGACGAAGGATGCTCTTATTCTCTTCTTATAGGTAATCTTGCCTTCCTCCGGCATAACCAAATAATCATCGCGGCACTCTCCGACATCGAATCATTCGTTGTCAGAGAAGTAAAATTTACTCGAGTCATGGAGCCTGAAAAATGATCGAGAAAGCGAGGGAGGAAACCCGCCAACTGCTACTGCTGTTAAACAGTGGAGGAAACTGACCCACATCCGCAACCGCATACCTCATCTCGCGCACGTACGACCCTTTCACCGCGAGGAACGATTGTGAGTCCATGATGTCCAATGGAACACATTCATCTTGTTATGTTTCATCGCCCTAATCGTCCTCAGAATATCCTCCACCGGGTAGAAATTCCTCGACGTATCCAACAGAACCCCCCCTGTGCGCAAACAGGGGCGCGTCGCGAATCTTCACCCCGATCGGCACGCGTCGCCCCCAGACCAGCTGGGAAAAGGTCTCCAGCCCCCCCCCCCCCCCCCCCCCCCCCCCCCCCCCCCCCCACCCAAAAAACAAACGATGGTGCCGATGAGATTTGCGGCGACAACATGATTGGGTATAAAGAGGGTGTAGGATTCGTCAACGTCGTGGATGAGTGGGGTGGCAAGTTCGGCGACGGTGATGGGGATTTCCTAGATCCAATAGCCTCTGCTTTAGACGATCTATCACCGCCAATTCAGGCGATCTGTCACCGCAACCGCTTCAGTCTTTACCGGCTAGGCGACACGGCGAAGAAGAGGGATTCAGGGGTGACGGTGGGGAAATGTAGGGAGAACGACTATGGTTTTTGGATTATGAAAATTTATTTTATTTTTATCTTTGGGTTAACATATTTGTATGGCATAAACTTTTCACATATTAAACATTCTGGCCAATCTTTTTTATCTATAATTTCGTGGCCTCAACTGTGCATCAGAGTTACGAAATTAGCCAAATCCGAGATTTGACCGTTATCTTGGACGGTCAAACGTGTTGACTAAAGGTCAACGCGCCATGTCACTGTCAAATCAGCACATACTAACTTAAAATTTTTCGTTTTCCACCTATTGTCATTTATCTTTTTTATTTTGAACAAATGAAAAAAAGGAAAGAAAATTAAAAAGAAATTTTAGGGTTAATGAAAGGGATCATCCCTGTCCTCCCCTCATCTGCATTTTGTTCCCCTTCTTGCTCATTCAACTAAACCCCAAACTCCCAAATCCACCATATTTGGTGGCCCGATACTAGCCTTTGCCTGCTTCCTATCGTTCCCCCACCGACAACGATGATTAATTGGATCTGATTGACACATTCCCTTTCGCTGCTCACCTTAATTAGATTTCCCAGGATGGGATCGATCCCACCTTCAATTTCGTCGTCTAGCATCGACCCTACACCGGAATCGTCCGCCACACAATTCCTTTCAATTGACGTTGCTGCTTTGGCAGGATTTTGGGGTAAAAAATTCCTTTCAATCAATTCTCACAACAATTGAGATTTGTGTCCCTTCGTCATTAACACCGTTTTGGGTTTGTGAGCGATTGGGCTTCCTTCTTCGTTAGTGAGAGAAGCTAGCCCTTGTTCGCCGTCGAGAATGCTAGAGCTTCTTTTCCACCACGCCCTCGTCTCGCCCCCCCCCCCCCCCCCCCCCCCACTCCGCTCTCTCTCTTCCCCTGCTATTGCTCCCCTCTATCTATCTCTCTCCTTCGACTAGTGCGCTCTCTCCCTCCCCGAGTCTGCTCTTTCTCGCTAGGATTTAATTTTATCCTTTCTTTCTCTCTGTTGGGGATATAGCTGGGATCCAGTCGCGCAAGCAAGACTGCCCAGCGTGCTCCGTGAGTACTAGAAGCCTCCGTGAGTAAAGACAAGTCCGCGAGTGTCAGAAGCGCCAGCCGGTGTCGTTTTGCTCTACTCAAGCCGACGCCGTTTTTTAAACCTTCCGTGAGTATTAGAAGCCTCCGCGAGTAAAGACAAGTCCACGAGTGCCAGAAGCGCCAACCGGCGTCGTTTTGATCTACCCAAGTTGGCGCTGTTTTGTAAACGCCAGACGGCGTCGTTTGCCCTATCCAAGCCGGCGTCGTTCACCTAATTCGAACTAAGAAGGAAAACCGGGAAGAACGACACCGTATCCTCCGAAGGAACGGTCACATCCTAGTCCTAGGTATAATTATGGCCTAAGGCATGGCCTAAATGTATGACACACATAGCAGTCATGTCACATTAAATGGACACCCACCACAAAGTGTCCTATAAATAGAGCATTCTCATTGCTTGCTCTACTCACTCTTATTTCGCGAGTCTCACTCATACACTCAGTTAGGCTCAAACAATTGGCGCCCACCGTGGGGCAGAGTTGAGAAGTAGTAGAAAATGAACTAATGGCGGAACATAATCCCAACTCACTCGACGAGGCAACGCCTATCAAGGTAGTGACGAACCAGAGGGTGTTCGCGGAAGCCAGCAACCTCAACGCAATACTTATTGAAGAAGAAGAGCCCTAGCTAACAGCCAAAGAAATGAGGCAACTAATGGCAAAGCAAAATGATGTCATAACCGATATGCCAAAAAAGATGAGCCAAGTCATAGCGCTCATGATGAGCAAGGAGGCTGCGTTAACAGCGCATGTGGCGCCAACCGCACCACGACAGGTGTCAGGTGAAGCGTCAGAGCCTGTCCCAGCGTCAGAGCATGCCCCACTATCACAACAAGCGCCGGTCGAGTCACCCGCACATGAAGTGCCCAAATGGGATCATCCGCTCGTTCGAAGAGTTCATACTCTTGTTCACAACAAAATTCGCGTCCCAAAAAAGAAGATCTCTCCACCTCAAGGCCCTGATTGACATCAGGCAAAAAGACGGGGAAAGCTTATGGGCAAGGTGGTCCAGGGTGGCAATGGTTGTACGAGACCTTACTCCTGAAACTGCTGCCCATTATCTCATGGACGCCACCACCAACATGGAGTTCAAGCGGGCATTAGCAAAAAGACCAGTCACGCTGTCGACAGAGCTAGAGGTCAAAATCGAGAAGGCCATCACACTGGAGGAAACCCTAGGCACGGGTTGTATCAGGCGCTTTGAACCCACGAGGCCACCTAGAGAGGATCAGGGGCGGAAGCAGCTCTCGGTGCCATGGGAGCAGTTGGTAGAGTTGCACAGCGGGCCGAGACGCCCACCCGCCCCACCCGCCCCACCAGAACAAGCTCAACGAGGGCGTTCACCAGACAGGCGCCCACATAACACTTACACACCACTCAATGATTAGGTGAAAAACGTGTTTCATGTGCTCCGCGAGAAGGGTTACAAAATCAACAAGCCCGCGCCCGTGAGGGCCTTACCACATATGCGCGACCCAAGTAAGCGTTGCGACTTTCATAGGGAGACGGGTCACTTGACGGAGGATTGTAGGGAGTTGCGGTACGAAATTGAAGCCCTCATTCGAAGAGGACTATTGACCGAGTTCATCCGCGGAACGGAAGAACAGAAGGAACATCCCAGAAATCCGACACCACCTCCGCAACCCGATTACAACGAGGCCACCGGCTCGTATGTAGTGCGGAAGGAGACCGCCCAAAGAAAAAAACCAAACGCGAGCGCGCGATGGAATGCGCGACAGCTAAGGTGCAACCAAAGTGTAACCTAAGTTTTGACGACGCGGAATTCCCACAAGGGATCCCGTCCGAAGAGCCACTCACCATCACCTTACTGGTGGCCGCCTGCAAAATTCACCGCCTACTGATAGACGGGGGCAGCGCGGCCGACATCCTTTTCAAAAGCACCGTCGGCCAAATGGACATCGACCCGCGTCTAATCAAGCGTGCACAAGGGAACTTGGTTGGATTCTCAGGAACGAGAGTTCCAGTGATCGGCGTGGTCACTCTTCCGGTTGTAATTGGAGA